GCAGATGAACAACTGTCAGCTTTATTGCTTTGTACTATTCTGGATCAAACAGGAGAAAACTGAGTCTAGACGAATATAAATATTATTTTGCCAATTAAATCAAACTCTTTTATAAATAGAAATCATCACATGGGAAGCGCTATACAGCTGTATGGAATGTACTTTGCAACAATAAATGTGTTCTTTTCTGAAGTGCTGACAGAATGACATGGTTTCATAACTTACCAAAACAGTTGTAATAACATACACATTGAAGAGTTTCATCCTTTTTAAGAAAACATTAAACTTTGAGGTAAAAAGCTGGTGGCCAGTACACCATATTATACCTAGAGAGCATATACTAAAACTGCTCCAAAAATCTTCTGTGAACATCTGCAGTATTTTACACAATTTACATTTCCTCTAAAATTATGTTCTAATATTATAAGGATTTCCTTGGGTTTTTTTAATCAGATCATTACTCAGAGTGAACACTTACTTGTTCTCTGTAATCTCTCTGAGTCAAAGCTGTTTTATTTTAACATATTTATCCTTTAAAAAAGGATTGATACATCCAATACAATTGATACGTACAATAATTTTAATATAATGAAAATTGTAGCATTTTAAGACAATTAAAACTATGGGCACTGAATTGCTTTGCTTAGGTTATTTAATTGTCTTTCTTTTGTGCTTTCCTATAAAAACAACAAAAGCACCCGTCTGCTTTGTGACTCACCAAGGATACTAAATAATGTTTACTCTAAGGTAACAACTTTAGCTTGTCTACCCAGCTATGTATCCTAATGCAGGTGAGTTTGCACATGGTATAAAAAAAAGTTTTAGAAGAAAATATGAAAAGTATTGTTAGACATTACTGTGAATTGTCCTAAAAACCTATTACAATTTTAGGCGTTGAATCAAATAAATTATCCCTACCCTCACTCCAAGTTTCATTTTAATATTCTGTATAAACTCAAAGGACCATTTGTCTTTCTAAAATGTGAGGTTACCTTGCAATAAATATAAATGTGCCATGTAAATTATTTATGTATAGGGCAGCATAACTAGATCATTCTATTTGCCTCTAAAGGATTTTCTCACTTTAATGGAAGTTTATAGGTAAATGAAATAGGCCATGCATAGGTTCCCAGATGTCTTTTAGTCATATACGTACTTTACACCCAAAATGCAGCACTTCCAATCTGACTGTTCACTAGAATCTATATTAAAACAAACAAACAAACTACAGTAAAACTACAGAAAACATTCACAGTAAATCCATATATGAGTGATCCAGTGTTACTTTCCATAGTCCCACTTACGGGAATTCGTGGAAGTACTGATCCAAAGAATGCTTTTAGTACTGACCTTTTTTTCCGTTGAGATGTTTCCTTTTATACAGGTTGTGCCCAAATGCAAATTTGTGTGAAAGAAGAGATATGAAAATAGTTTCATAATTGTATTTTCTGTAGATTTGGGACAGACCTTTATTATGAATGTGTGGCTACTAAAGACCAACCACTGGCTCTCTAATATCTATGAATGGGGAAACTAGCTTGTGACTCTTAGAGCACTTGCTCTGTCTTCTAATAATTCTTACTATCAAAGAGAAACGCTAGAGTAGAACAAACAGGTAGAACATAGCTACTCTATGGAACTTAAGAACTTTTTTATCTGACATACTCTATATTAATCTGCATACTTGTTCTTTAACATTCATACACCTAGGGCTACCCCTCTTCCTCACAATACTAACAATGATTATCATTCCTAGTATCAAAATATGCCTTTGGCATGTTATACAAGCTACATGTTATAATCACAGTCAGTGTTGATTACAAATTAACTTGTTTCTAAAAATCATAGTTGTAGATATTACAGCCTGACTTATGAATATTAAAGGATGAAACTAATAATGTTGTTTCCACTAGAGGCTTGGCACTTTAAGGACTAATCCATTTTTATCACATTTCAAAGCACAGTTGTTCTATTTGTTATCACATTTATCCCCCTCTTCTTCCTTCTCTTTCTGCTTTTTAAAAATTATTCTATTAAATTCATAATTGCTCTTTTTTTTTTAATTTTGATCACTTATTTGCATATAATTTGTCTCAATTTAAAATCCAGCTTCCTAGTATATGTTATCATGAATTTTTCATCTCTGTGCCTTATTACGCATAAAATCAAATTACAGTGAACAGTAAATACGTTTCAAAGTATTAGTGATCTATTCAATACCAATTCCTTAATAAAACATGGTGAGTAACAAAACCCAGTATTTTAAAATAAGAGAAAGAGGAGTGTAAACTTAAATATCTATAAAAATCATTACAATCTCTATTAGATTATGGCAATATTGTTTCAACTGGTTAGTGTACATCTTGCAAAAAAAATACACCAGTTCTTTTGTAACTTTTTACTTAAACAACTATTTCTGCATGTGTGTAGGCTGTATAACTCGGTGTATGCCCAAATAATATATTATTATTCCACAATCTTTTGCAGCTTTTACATAAGGGTATATATTTTGATTCTAGGAAATTATACAATGAAGAAATATTTATTCTTTCTTTTATTATTGTATATAGTAATAGAGAATTATTTAATAAAGCAGAGCTTGAAATATAGCTCAACAATTCTATCTTTTGGCTACAGGCTGGGACTATATATATACATCATCTATCCCTAGTCTTTGATATCTTGTAGAGATTACATCTCCTCAGACATGCTGTTACAATGTTTTCCATTCTTATCGTTAGAAAACTTTTCTCAATCTTGCATGTATGATTTTCCAGAATGATGACTACGGATGACTTTTTCTTGTCTTTGGAGGACTCAGAAAAACAATGTATCACCGGTACTTTTATAACAACCCTTTTAACATATCATACTGCTACCCTTCTATCCCACTCTCTTTTACCACTTGCCCAAACAATATTTCTTTTGAGATGGCTTAAAACTACTGTCTTCCTTCTCCTGAAACCCAAATTTATTAAATTGTTCTTGAATTATAATCACAGTGAGTATAACTATTATTTCCCGTGTTCTCTGACAGATTTACTAGCCCATGGCATTCACTTCCTTTGGTATCTGTCAGATATTCCTTACTTTATATTTGTTCCCTTCTAAAGTGTAGTGCTCTGCACTTGTTTTTTTAGATATTATCTTGTTGATCTCAGGCCTTCTTCCACTCTATTAAAATGATTTTCATCCAGTCCTAAACAGTGTTTGTACCTCTACTTATCTGTTTTCCATCTGTGAACAGTCTAAGTGCTGCCTTTAGTTCCTCATTCAGGTTGCTAACAAAATGTTCCAAAGGATTGAGATGAAGGCCTTCTTAGGATATAAATAATAACGTATTATGTTATAACATGTAATTATGTTATGGATTATAAATTAAAACATATAAATGTTTTAACATATAATACATATATTTTTTCATGGCTGAATGTGAATAGGGGGTTGCTTTTAATGTTTCTGTAGAAGGATGACATGACGAAAGCTTTATATGGCATTTTGACTTCTGCAGCTTGTCATCTTATAACACCACTTTAGTACTCTATGAAAGGAGTAAATTGGATATTACTAGATTTTTGGGGGGTTGTTTTTTTCTTGCATTTTCTTTTGTGTTGTTTTTAAATCTTCCTTACAATTCCCTCAGTACTTTTAAAACAATTTCTGAGGTTTAGTTTCCATTCTCTGTCTCATTACATACTAAGAGTAACTGCTTGATAATGCCTTGCTATTCTCCTCCCTTCACATCTTTTGAAAGACAGTTGTCCCCTTCCTGGTTTTTAGTGATACTATAGTCACTATTGTGATAAAAGTACTATTTTCTCTACCTTTTGTTATCACCACAGATGGAATCACTTTGCTTAACAGATGGTGTCAGAGTTGATATTTGTCCATTGGTTATTGAAGTCTTAGTCAAATATTCCAATTGGAATACTTGTCCTAAAAGCACTTACAGATGAGTGGAAAACATTTTCTTGTGCTGTGCCATGAAAAGTGAAATATTTACACTGATTTAAGCTTTGCATCATACAAAGACATAACAATTTATCTATTATTAAACCACTTTCTATCTAAATAAATATCATCCAAGAATTTCTGAGTAAACTCAGCTAGTGTCTGCCAGAATATTTTCATAAATTCCTCTTAGAACTCCTCTCAGAACTCTACCATCTAGGTAGCTTATTGGTCTTATTCACATGGAAAAGATAATTCTGTGACACACTTCTGATCCAAGCAGCATTATTTCCCTTCTTCAAAAGGGAATATTAAGGCATAGACTCTGCAGTAGCTTGTCAAAGATCACCTCAACAGAGCAGCAACAGAGCAAGGATTTAGGGCCTTCATATTCTGAATTCTCTTCTCCCGTTAAAACTAGAAACTTACTTAAATCGACAGTCAGTGCATTGTTGTATCTAGGGATCTAATGCTGCAGGTGCTGTGGAAATCTCAATTTGAAAGACACAGTATATCTACAGAAATCTATAGAAATATAATTAGAAGCAATTAGGGAAAAGAATGACAGGAAGCTGATTTTGTTCAGACAGTATTGAGACAATATCTGGTGTGAAAATGCTGTTTTTTCAAGTCTTAAAAACTTACTACCCTTTTTTTACGTTTAGCACTGTGAAGGTGAATATCTGTATCTTTTTATCCATCTCAAGGTCTTATTCTGTGTTGATGGTAGATTGTAAGCTATATTTGAATCAATCATGACTATGACAGCAAGAAACTTTTAATGACTTACTATATAATTTTATGGGTTTTATCATTGTTTTACAGCCTAACTACGATAGCTAAAAACTTACCAGGGTCTTCCCAGTTTTAAAAATTCCCTTACTACTAAGCAAATATTTTAAGTTGTTCCCGCTCATCTATCCCCTTTTTGGAAGGCATAATTTACCATAAGTATTTAAAAAGTTATCAAATGTATGTTTTTAATAATGTTGGATTTATAACCTCTGCATAATAGCTGAAAATCTTCCTTCCTACTTGAAAAAACAATATACTTTTTTCAGTAGCAATGTTTATTATCAAAGGACCTATCGCTGTTAAAATTTCTCTCACTAACTGGCATGGACGTTCATTACTGATTTCAGCAGAGCTAAAAATGCTGTTCATTAGACAGGTTTATCTATATATATCTGGAAAATTCTTTCTTTTTTAACACAGAAGCACAGGATGGGGCAGGTTGGAAGGGATCACCAATAGGTCTTCTGGTCAAACCTCCCTGCTCAAGCAGGGTCATCCTGGAGCACATGGCACATGGTTGCATCCAGAAGATTCTTGAATATCCCTAGTGAGAAAGACTCTACAACCTCTCCGTGCAATTTGTTTCAGTGTGCTGTCACCTGCACAGCAAAGTTCTTCCCTATGTTCAAGTGGAACTTCCTGTACATCAGTTTCTGCCCATTGCCTCTTGTCCTATTGCTTGGCATCACTGAGAAGAGCCTGGCTCCATCCTCTTGACATCCTCTCTTCAGATACTTATAGACAGTGATGAGGTCCAATCTCAGACATCCCTTCTTGAGACGGCTTCAGGCTGTCCTCATAATACAGATGTTCCAATCTTCTCATCATCTTTGTAGCTGTCGTGGGTTGACCTTGGCTGGATTCTAGGCAACCACTAAAATCACTAAGACCTAGGAGAAGTCACACAGGCAAAACAAAACTCAGCATGAGGATAGTACTAAAATTTATTACTAACAGGATAAGAGCTAAACAGTGAGAAATAAAACAGTCTTAAACACACTTTCCAACCACCCCTCCTTCCTTCCATGTTCTCTCTCCTCCCCCTGCATCAGTGCAGGGAGAGAAGTCCACCCAGAGGGCAACAGGTCTTCCAAGTCTGCTGTCCTGTGGGTCACCCTTCCATGGGCTGCAGGGGGACAGCCTCCTTTACCATGGTCTTCATCACGGGCTACAGGGGAGGCTAAAGCTCAGAGTCCTTCCCCTGTTCCATGGGGTCCCTCCCACAGGAAACAGTCCTTGATGGACATCTCCAGCGTGGGTCCACCCCCTCCGGGCCACAGGTCTTCCATATCTGCCCTCCCAAAGGTCGTTCCTCCATGGGGTGCAGGGGGTCTCTAAACCCCGATGGTTTTTCATAGGATGCAGTCCTTGATGGATGAGTTGCACCGATGTGGGTCCCCCACAGGGCCATGAGTTGAGTCCTACCCGGGAATAACCTGCTCTGGCGTGGGCTCCTCTCTCCACAGGCCGCAAATCTCCTGCAGGACCCCACTCCCTGCTGGGCCTCCCACTGATGTCTGTCTCTTTCATTCATCCACCTGCTCCAGCATCCTTGATCTGGCTGCCCTTTGGCCCAGTTCACAGGGCACCCCATGCCCCTCGGCCTAGCCTGGCTTGGCTACTTGGGCAGAATGGGCTTGAGCACGGGCTGCTTCACGGGGCGGGCCTGGGGGCTGTGGGGCCGCTCTCCGCAGGGCCACAGCCCCGTTCCTGGCCCCGGCTCTGGCCGCAGCGGCTGCGTCTCTCCCGGGCTGCCTGTGGGGCGGGCCTGGGGAGGCTGTGGGGCCACTCCCCCACAGGGCCCCATGCTCCAGCCAGAGCCCCCAGCCAGAGCCCCCAGCCGCCCCTTCACAGGGGCTGCCTCTGCCTGCTCCGGGCTGGGTGTCGAGAACCCTGGGCTGGCCTGCCACCACCACCCCGCTGCGGCGAGGGAGGTGGCAGGGCCACCTGGGAGCTTCGGTCAGGTCTTCCCTGGCTGGAATTTCTTCTGCGCAACCAGTTTTTTCTTAAATATGTTATCACAGAGGCGTTACTAAAACTTCTGATTGGCTCTCCTCCTGGTCAGCACCAGGAAGTCTGCCCTGGAGCCAACCATCTTTGGTTCCATGGGGGGGAAACTTTTAGCAGCTTCTACAGAAGCTATCTCTGTAGCCCCCCACATTACCAAAAAAAAAAAAACCCAGTCATATCAACCCACGACATTCACTGGATACATTCCAGAAGATTCATGACTTTCTGGGAAGCTCTGAACCAGACAGTACTCCACATGCAGCCTCGCCAGGGTTGAGTAGAGGGGCAGGAGCACCACCTGTGACCTTCTGGCACTGCTCTTCCTAATGCACTCCAGGACACCATTGGCCCTTCTTGGCCATAAGGGCATATTGCTGGCTCATGGACAGCCTGTGCCCATGATCCTCAGCTCCTACTCTGCAAAACTGCTTTCCTCTTTTTTTTTTGTGTCACTGTTATCTTTCTTTTAGTTATCCTTTTGGGGTCCAAACCTTGACTTCAAATTGCAGAAATGTTAAAAATGTCTGTTATCTGTCTTCTTCAAATTAGATCTTAAGTGGGAGCACTGCCAGAGCTGCATATGCCAGTTTCTGAAATATACCTCTAGTTTTGCTATGCTCTTACTATTTCTGCAGTCTTTTCAAGTTAGTCTACAGATAGATCTTTTCTAACGTGTAATGTAAAGACTAAGAGAGCAATGCAATTATCTGTACTCTGTGTAGAATTGAGAAAAAAGTTCATTCTTAGCTTTAGAAAATATACATTACTAATCATCACAGGAAAATGCATAAAACACAGACATGCTTTTGGGAATTATAAGAGACATGCTGAGAAGTCATCTGACCAGGAAGAAAAACCCTGAAAACTAATTTCACAGATGTATTTATGAAATACTCCATCAATCCCCAAATGTCTCAATGTGTGAACAACTGTAGTAAGACAATCAAGGTAGGGTTAATGAAAACATGAAAGACAAATCATGGTGATGTCTTTATACTCAATGTCCTGCAAGAGAATAATATACCTATTTAACTGACAAAGATTGTTCATCTAACTTGTTCCAGTATTTTTAGAATCAATGGACTGAAGTCCTTTAGACTTCAATCTGTACTGTTTTAGAATATTTAAAAAAAAAAATAGCTAAAAACTATAGACTCACTACCCTGCATTTTCAGAGAGCAGACTTTAGACTGCTCAAAGAACTAGTTAGTAAATTTCCCTGGAAATCTGCTTTTGAGTGTAATGGGGTTCACGACTGTCAGTCATTTTTTAAGAAACATCTTTTGAGAGTGCGGGAGTAGGCAGTTCCAATGTGTTGGAAGTCAAGAGGGGCAGAAGTCTGCCTTGGCTGAAAAGTGATCTCCTTCAGAACTTAGGCAGAAAACCAAAATGTATTGACTATGAAAGCAAGGTCAGGCTATACAATACGACTGTAGAGATGCTGTTAACCACTATAGGAAGAGAATTTGTATAGCCAAAGCTTAGCTGGAGTTGAAGATGGCCTGTATATAGGTGGGTAACAAATTTAGGTTTAGGTATATTGACAGCAAAAGGAGATCTAAAGAAACATTGATTTGCTACTTGATGAGACTGGTCACTTCAGAAATATAGATGAAGATAAAGCATAAACGTTTAATGACTTCTCCAGTTCTGCCTTTAACACCAATGATGGGCCTTGGGACTCTTGGAGCTCTAGGTTGGAAGACCATGATTGACCAGGAGTGATTAGCTCCCAGTTGACTTTGAATTGGTACACTATTTGTTGCTGTAACTGAATGCACATAAGTCTATGGGACCTGATGGGATTCACTGCAGGGTAATGAAAGAGTTCACTGATGTTATCGCAAGACCTAATGTAGTTATATATTAACAGTCTTAGGAATCTGGAGAATTTCCAATCTTAGTGAAAGATGGCAAACATTTTTCCAGTTTTCAAGAACGGCTAGGAAGAAGACCTTACTAATCATAAGATGGACAATCTCACTTTTGTACTTGGTAAAATTATGAAGATATTTTTCTGGGACTTACTGAAAAACTCTCAAAAGACCATGCAGTGATTGGTCAAAGCCAACATGGATTCATGAAGGGAAGCCTTATTAACTTAATAAGATTACTTCCCTAGTAAATGAAGGGATGGCAGTGAACATGTGGTTTTGGATTTTAGCAAAGGTTTTGATACTATCTCTCACAACATCTTTATGGGAAAAGTGTCCAGCACGTGCAGCTGAACCGAAAAGCATCCAGCTGAACATGCATACAATATGGTAGGTGAATAATTGGCTGAAAGGATGGACTCAAAGAGTTGCAGAAATTGAGGAAACATCTAGCTGGCAGTCATCCACTAGTGGTGTTTGCTCAGGACTCAATCTGAGAGACAGTTCTCTTCAAAGTTTTGTTAATGACCTGGGCACAGGAGTTAGGTCACACTGAGTTTGTTGATAATAAATTAGAAGGAGTCATTGATTCCTTTGAGAGTAGAGAGGCCTTATAGAGCAATATTGATGGATTGGTGATGGGCAAACATCACTCACATGTAACGGAACAAGAACAAATACTGGATTCTACACCCGGGACAGTGTAATTCTTGGTATCTGGGTGTGTGTATAGATTAGGGGACAAGAGGCTGGAATGTAGTCCTGCAGAAAGGAATCTGAGGGGTTTGTTTGATGTGAAGTTCAGTATGAACTAACAATGTTCCCTGGCAGCCCAAAAGGCCAGAAGTATCTTGGGGTGCTTTAAGCACAATATAGCTAACCTGCCAAAAGAAGTGTCTGTCTCACTGTGTCTCAGCATTGGTGCTGCCTCACCTCAAGTTCTGAGTGCAGTGTTGGCTAAGTCAGATATCAACATCTGATGGAGAAGTAAAGCTGAAGAACAATTAACAAATTACATAAGCATTTGTACTACATGAGCTGAGTTTGGTGCCCACCTTCTGACATTTATCCATGAAATTGCTTGTGAGAAAATACAAGCTGACAGACATTTTGAAACAGTTGTAAAAGAAAGTATGTGAACTAGCAGCTGTCTTTGGAGGAATTAATATTTAAACTTAATGCCATACTGCTCTGCTTTGAGCTGTGTTTCATGGTGTATCAGTGTGCCAAGAAAAGAAACATGGCTAAGGGAAAAACAGTCTTTGTTCCCCCAAATCATTGTATTAATTACTCTGGCTTCTGGAAAGACAGAATTGTTAACTATCAGACGTAGAAAACCTTTTAAAAAGTCATAGAGGCAAAAGTTTGATTCTGTTTTCAAAACTTTATCCAACAGTTTTCATTCTCTGTGGTTTGTGTTTTCTTCCCATCCTTTTTGTTTTCCACACAGGACTGCGGGCTGTCTTGCAATTCAATATTCATTGATATACATTTTTACCCATCAGTAATACAGATTTTAAAATCAGTGTTAACTGTCAATTTTGTTGATGATGCACAAGGTAGAATAGAGCACAGCTGGTGGTTTTACTGCTTTTTGTCAGCAGTATTGACAGCAGTAAAACCCTGAAGCAGAACCTACACAGGAAGCAGATATGTACACTAACAAGATGTTATTTTTAGAGTTCCTTTTCTAGCTCATAGCTTTTTACTGGCAATATTTTAATTGGTCCAATGCCAACATAAGAAATATAGTATTTTACAGCTTTAATCAAACAGCACTTGGGAACTATCTGACCCAGCAATATAATTCCCCTTCTGTCTTAATACAAGTACACCTAATTAAACATGCTCCAGTCTTCTCCCAGTAAAAAATATATTTCAGCTCTGAGAAGTCCATAGGTTTTATATCAAGCTCAGGCTTCTGATTATACAGCAAAAAAAAGGTAGCAAGAGAAAGAAAACGGGGGAAGTTTACATTTTTTTCCTTCTTGTATGTTAAAAACAAGTGTAGAATCAGAAATAAATTTTTTCCCCTTATAAAATAGTAACTGCATCTTTCTCAACTTTTAACAAAAATATTAACAGATAATACCATGAAATTTTCATTACTGGTAATAACAATTTTTAAAAACAAATTATGATGGTATTAGTTTCCACATTCTTAGTAACTACATAGCAAAAGTTTAAAAAGCTCTTTTGTGAGTCATCAACAAATCTAACCTGAAAATTTCAATTTTTTGCTTATATCTGTTAAACATTTGATCGTACCTTGTTTAGCCAACATAAGAGTCCAAAATATTTTCCGATCTTGTCTACAGCTCTGCTTTTCCCAAGAAGGATCATATTAGTCAAAACTGTTGCACGTTTTCACATCGTTGTTCTAGGATTGCTTGTGTGGGTATGATGTGTCCTAGGATTCTTTAGTCAGCACTGCTGAGGCCACGCTGGGAGTGTTGTGCCCAATTCTGAGTTCTTCCGCACAAGAGAGGCCTGGACTTAGTGGAGAAAGTCCAGCAAAGGATCGTAGAGGTGATTAAGGGCAACTCTTCCACGAGGAAAGGCTGAGAGTCATCTCAGAGAAAGGAATGATCATGAGGGGAACTCATGAATGTTTTTAAATACCTGAAAAGGAAGGTGCAAAGAGAATGGAGCCAGGCTCATTTCAGTTGTTACCAGTGACAGGGCAAGAGACAACAGGCATAAACTGATATATTGAAGGTTCCCTCTGAACATCAGAAAGTGCGGCTTTATTGTGAGAATGACTGAGCACTGTCACAGTTTGCCCAGGGAGGTTGTGGAGACATTCAAAATGACCTAGGTATGGTCCTGGGCAACTGGTTCTAGGAGACTTTGTTTGAGCAGGTGCGTTGGACAAGATGAAGCACAGAGGTCCCTCCCTCCGAAGGTCCCTCCTCAACCATTTTGTGATTCCAA